GATTCTGTCTGACATCCAGTCAATCACAGTGGCTAGTTCTCACCCACTTTACCATAACCTTACCCTCCCCTCTCACACTGCGTCATCCTGCACCTGACTTAAATGTCCTCCTACCTGGTCCCCCTGCCCATTCTTAGATCCAGCAACCCTCTCTCCAAATGACAGGTCTTCGTAAGTCACTCTTCTGCCTAAGATCAGTGCCCACTGTGCTGAGGATAAAATCCAAATGCCTACTAGGCCCTGCCCGACCCAGCCCTGCCAACCACCCCTGCCTCCTACCTCCCCCCAGGGCTCATCGTGCCCCAGCCACACTGGCCTCCTCTGGGCCCTGATCCTGCCAGGCTCCTCACCCCCACAAGGCCTTTAACATGCAGTGCTATCACCTTCGAACATGTTCCTTCCATTAGCACCCGCCAATACAGCACTCTGAGCTCCGCTCAACTGTCCCTTCGCAGACAGGCCTGCCTCACTCCTCAAGGTAAAGCACTAGCTCCACCTTGTTCTCTCTCATAATATCCACTAGTTTTGTTTTTTTATTTTTCTGTCCTGAGCACTCAGCACAACTTCTAAATATACATTCGTCTACTTGACACAGGCCTCCAATGCCTTTCCCTCCCACCACAAAGCCCCTTCTCCTGGCTAATTCTTCATCATTACATATACCTCTTCTAGAAAGCTTTACTGACACCCCCAAGCTAGGTCCTGTGCCTCCTCTGGGCTCCCTCAGCACCCCACCCCAGCCCAGACTCCCCCTCTTGCGCCTCCCCAATCCCGGCCCAATCCCTTAGCCTGTTTCCTGGTCCTGGCCCAGCCCGACCCCTCCGTCTGTGCTTCCCTCATCACAGCTCCACCACTCTGGACTGGCAGTTCCATACAAATACAAAGCAGAGCTGTGGGCGAACTGCTGCGACCCCCACACAGGGCGGGCCAGGCTTCTTACTAATGGCTGAAAGGAGGAAGGAGCACATCACACCTTTCTGGTCAACAGACAGGGCTCCTCAAGCCCCGGTCACATCTTAGATTATTCCCTCTGCAGCCCTTCTCACTCCCCAAATTATCTTGCCAGCTTGTTTGCTTCCTGGTTTAGCGTCTGTCTTCCCACTGAACTCTGAGCTGTAAGACAAGGCCACGGCTATCTTGGGTTACTATAAACCAAAAACTCCCTTAGTGTAGAGTCCATTCGGACTCATAGTGGCCATACAGGACAGATGAGAACTGTCCCCATAGGGTTTCCAAGGCTCTGATCATAATTTTATGGAAACAAATTGCCACATCTTCCTTCCACCAAGCAACTTGTGGTTAGAAGCGACCTTCCGGTTACCAGCTGAGCGTTTAACCACTGCGCCACCCGGGCTCCTTGGTTACTATAAAACCGGTGGCCCTCGAATCGATTCCGATTCATAGCGACCCTATAGGACAGAGTAGAACTGCCCCATAGGGTTTCCAAGGAGCAGCTGGTGGATTCGAACTGCCGACCTTTTGGCTAACAGCTGTAGCTCTTAACCACTGCGCCACCAGGGCTTCTAAATTCCAACACAGGAGCTGAGGGAAGATATGATGAATGAATACACACTCCCGAAGATTAAGAGAAATTTAAAGATACAAATGGACAGGGAAGAGAAAAGGAGGTTAAGAGTACAATAAAAATCTTCAATGAGGGATAAACATAGCCGTATCTGCACACTGGGGGCCGTGGAGGCCGCACTAAGGAGCGTGATGACAGCCGGGGGACACTGGGGAGCCACGGAAGGGTGGGGAGCAGGAGAGGGTTTGTCGCTAACTGCGAATGAATGAAAGTCTCGTGCCTCTGCACATCACACAACATCCTGCCCCAAGTTGCTTTCTTCTAAAGGAACGTCCTAAAGACCCGACCCCAATGCGCCCCCAACCCGGACATGGCATCCCTGCGCTGGGCACACCTCGAAGAGCCCACACCTTCTGACCTCGTGACCTCTGACCCTCGGCGACCCCGCCAACCGCCGCCGCGGCCCCGACGCCCCCACCGCCCGATCTCCTCTGCCGGCCACGTACGCCACTTACGCTGCCGGGGTGTCCCCGCAGCCGCCGCCAGGCCTGTCGGGTGCATCTTCGGCCGCCACCGCAGCCGCCGCCGCCGCCTCAATCTCGGTACGAAACGTGTCCGCCCGGCTCCCGTAGCCACGCCCCTCCGTTGACGTAGAAGGCAATGGGCGTCACCTTCCCTCAGAAGCCAAGCTCACTCACGGACGACTGGAGGCGTGGGCGGTGGCTAAGAGGCGGGGACTGGCGGGTCCCATGACGTAAGACGAGAGTTGGGTCCTAAGTCGCCGGAGG